TGGCGCAAATTTAGATTATGTAAGCTAGTTCTATATTCTAAACGATCAGCTAGGTAACTTGGTGTTTGGGTGATAATAACCTTATGGTAAAGAACTAGAGAATGCAACATTCTACGCTGAGACATATTAAGCCATCCCACCTCGATCATCTTATGTGAAATGTGATCTCTGCGCCCAATGCCATAAATAAATCTCAAACAAGAATTCTGCACTCTTTGTATACGGGTGGCAGTAACTGTGTCAATGCATGCATGAAACAAAACATCACAATAATTAAAATGTGACAAAACAAGGGTATCTGTTAGGGTTATTTTGGTTTTAGTAGATAAAAGATGTCTATTCGGATACAAACGCTTTAGAGTAGAATATGCCTTGCGCAAACAATTATTAATATGGCTAACATACTTAAAGTTAGAGTCCATTAAAACTCCAAGATTTCTTGCATCGTGCGAGACTTTCAATACCGATCCTTGCACTTTAATCCTAATGAGATCCAAGTTCTGGATTCTAGCTTTATCTCGTCCAAAAAGCAGCACAGTGGACTTTTTTGAATTAATAAATAAATTATGGTTAGTAGCAGTTCGGACAAGCACTTCAAGTTCTTTATTTATTAATTTTATTGCATCAGATGTATCAGACGGTGGGAATGAACAATATACCTGTGTATCATCAGCATACTGATGAAATTTACAGCTTTTAAAGTCCCTGCAGATATTATTTGAATATATGACATATAAAAGTGGGCCCAAAATGGAGCCTTGTGGGACTCCACTATGTACATCAAGTAAAGAAGATTTAATGTTATCCATAAGTACACAATGCTGCCTACTTTCAAGGTAAGAGGTAATAAGTTGTACCGCAGACACATCGAAGCCGTAATGATTCAGTATTGATATAAGAAGCTTATGATTTATAGTATCAAATGCCTTAGAAAAATCTACTAATACCAAAACTGTGAGATATCCTTGTTGTCGGGGTGTAAGTAGGCATATGTAGGTGTTTTCATCATTGTTAAATGAATTACATACCTATATAAAATGAACTTTTGTGGAACATAAATTACGAGCGTATTACCCGAATGCGTCTTTTATGGTGGTAATGAAAAGCTTTCCAATGACGTATCGGAAGTGGTAGGTTTCAATTGTATGTTCAGATTGATTTCCCTCTCTAGTCTATACTACCGAAATCGCGTTGAATACTTCTTGATACTAAAAATTGTCATGTTGCTTAAACAAATGTCAGAATGGAAAATAAACTACGTATATCGCGGACAGTAGTTTTCTTTCTACGTAAAAACATTTTCGGAAAAATTATGATTGCATCGAAACAACAATTATGTTATGACATACAATACTCTAGGAAAAAAGAGTCAGACACATCGTTGGGTTTGTCATATTTGGTCAGTGCGCGTTTATTATTAGGTCGCTTGTTAATAATTTTTGAAAAATTAGTTGTTTGCTTGTAAATGGTCGAGATGCGAAGAGGGCACAGTAAACAAATGGTGATCGCTTAGGTTCAACTTTTGGAATTGCGTTTTATATGGTTAAAGTTATGCCCATAGTTCATGCAATTCGGAGATGTCGAAAGGGCATTCTTTATTTTTGGCCTACACTGCCAATTCACGCACTCCGATCTACAGATTTGATAAAGAATCCACCTGCAAAATTTCATCGTAATCGATCCATTTGTTTACAAGATATCGTGCTAACGGACGGACGGGCGGACAGACGGACAGACACCGCAAAATTATAAATTCGCTAGGAGCTCGTTAATAAGTCACCATTATTCATTAAATTATGAATGATGTTTAGTGTCCCTTCGGGAGAAGAAGTGACACTTTAGTCCCTCAAATGAATGACAAAACATCGTTTATTTAATCTACGCAGTACACACGTCATTTTTGACACAAATGAAATAAATAAAATTTTACTTAGAATCTAAAAATAAAATGATATATAGGGTGTTCCATTTAAAATAAGCAAATTGGCATCATCTTCTGGCATATCCGAAAGTACCCAGAACAAGAATATGTTTTAGACAAATTCTCTTATTAGCATTAATACACTGTCAAATTTTAAAAATATTCTCCTTTTCGTTTGGATATGAATAGCCCAGGGACACCCTGGATTTTAACACATAAAACGAGAAAAAAAACGTGGAATTTGATAACAGTCGCGATTTCAAGCTTTGTGATAAACGAACGACAAACTAATTGAAATTATTTCTCCTGTAACTAATCGACTTTGGACTGGTGTCTTATCATATTTTTGTCTCGCCACGATTCGATACGTGCAATATATGTCAAGTAGTGAATTTTTGGTACATAGCTCATAATTGGTACAGATTGCGTCTTTATTTATACAAAACCAAAACAATTAAAAAAAAACTTGTCTATATGATACTTGAAAGCTAAATTTTGTGTCATGACTCTAAGCCCTACTAGTCCATATAATTATAACAATTTTGTTAATATAATAATATATTGCATACCGTAGTAAGAGATAGTATAAACCGCTTGTAGGAAGGTCGATTACGTGCGGATTTAGGTGAGGGTATCGCACATTTCATATTGAATTATGTTATTTTCTGTTTCTTACTTCAATTTTAATTTCTTAATTCATTTTAATTTTCAAAAATTTGTCTTCGATTTTCTTGAATTTTGCTCTCTGAATTTTGATAAAATTTTTTGTACGGCTTTTTATAGTTTTTGTCCCAGTCTCATGAACAATTTATATAGGTAGCGATTGAATATTCTCAAATTGTTGTAGAATGTTCCCAGAATACCTACACGCGGATGTTCTTGACAAAAATGCATGCACGGATTCAAAAAGGCGTCTTGTCCTCTATCGTTGAAGATGCAAGCTGCATTGTCTTGTTAAAGATATTATTTATTGTAGCAGCTATCTACATCGCATAAAAAGGATTATTATTAATAATGATGGCATAATCAGGATCATACCGTCCTTAGGTACATCTGAAGGGGTAGTCGTCGGGTTAGTTTAATTCCCTTTTATTGTGGTAAGAATCAATAGGTAACGCTTCACTTTACATATTTTTGAATATACCTAAGGAAATTAGAATCATTTTTTTATATTTGCTCCTAAGATTCTCTCTCATGATGAATTAGGCTACGGTTAATGTGGCGATTTTATCATGACCTAATTCCTATATTTGAAAAAAAAATAGCGCAAATTTTATTATTCCATGCATCCTTCATTAATCAAGGTTTAATTTTTGAAATATTGGATGTCATACTCAAATTTTGGCAATTCGAACGAACAATTCTCAACATTGGTTTGACAAATCTTTGGGGTTAAAAATATGCAAATATATAAAGGGTTAGTGAAGTGAAACCTGTATTTTACAATTTGTGATCAGACTTCGCGAAAAACTCCATGCAGCGATTTACCCTTTTGCCCCTGGCACGCATTACCTACTTTGCTTTCTTTATGAGTGAGGTTGGTCTCATCTGCTAAAAATGACGGTGAAAGGATATTCAGATTTGTGCAATCGTATCCGTGTCATTAGCAAGACGTAATTAATACGAAATCTCAAACCCATTCGTTATAAAAATGATGTTGGCCTTGTGCTTTTAATGATCAAATAAGTACTGAACCCCGTTGTCCTTAAACCATTAGAAATTCGTTACCTATATCGTAATGATTAAGATACAACTAACAGGTATAAGATGCAAAATGCGTTTTAAAAAACCCTTTCCTGCTATAATTAGGTACCTACTACCATTGATTATCTAACGTTACTTCCTGTTATGGTAAATACAGATTAAGCTCACGTTCATGAAACGTTCTTAAAGCTCTATATACACGCACGAGTAAATTCAGCGTGCCTTTTTTAATTGTTTATAATTTTTTACGTCCGGATGGGTGCGTAGTATAAATAAGGGTTAGACACGGCGGGGTAAGGAAATTTGACGGCTTCATGTGACCAATAGGATTGCGTGTCCGCATACGGGACGGGGTAAATGCGTATGCTAAAGCACAAACGAAAGTTGCCAGTACATGTGTTCATTAAGGAACGAGGGAACGGGCCGCCGTTAATTTTTCTTCGGCTAAATTTTTGCAAAAATGTTTTTTATGCGAACGTTGGTGTTGTTTGTGTTTACTTCCGGGTGTGTAGGGGTGACGCGCCCATCATTTACTTTGGATTAATATTGAACGTATGTTTATATTATTAGCTACTATTCTTTTTATATTTTCGCGCTAATTTACCCTTATTTCGGTGAGTCACCTACTAAATTAGTCAGGTATTGATGCAAACAACCCCTCTGCAATTGTTTTTACTTTTAAGTTTTTCAAACCAAAATTAAATTTCCTGTCTGCGTGAACAGACGAGCGACAAAGAGGTGTAGGTTTTATTACTATCGCTTACATGAGTACCTACTTTTAGGTCCTAATTACACTTTTATAGCAACCCAAAGGGATGCCTGTCTCTATGGGAAATTCAGTTTTTTATTACCAAAATCCTACGAAGCAAGTGCCAACGCGCGGTCGAGGTTACGAAATCCAACCGGAAATACCACAAATGATGGGAGATATTAATGTTAGATACCCAAATTAAATAACACGCCGTGCTTGTATATAATTTATTCTGCAAATTTTTTTCTGCTAATCTTCATCGAATTACTAATGGGAACCAATACACCTAAGCCAGTTGTTCACCCAAAAATGAACCCTTTCTTAGTGTTGAACAATTCGTGATGCGATGAACTTTATGCGTGCCCAAATAGACTTAATCAAATAAATTAAACAATTTTAGTGCAAATAGATTACATCAGAATCTAAAAATGCATTTTTATTTACCCCCAGTGTGTTTATATTAAATATTACATCGAAATTATTGATATTTCACAAACTTTGCTATTTGAATATTCTAAATAAATTTCAACAGTGATAATTTTGAAATATATTCTCAGCACTGGTAAATTAGTGCTAATGTGATAATTTTCAATATTTCACCCTAATCGTACATTTCTTTTTTAGTGACCGCCAAAGAGGCACATCGAAATTTTACAAAATGGGGAGCACGGCGCAGCAATATTGTTTGAGGTGGAATAATCACCGTTCGAATTTGCTAACAGTATTTGATGAACTGCTACAAAACGAGGCCTTTACCGATGTAACGCTCGCCTGTGATGGAGGAAGTCCCATAAAGTGCCATAAAATTGTTCTAGCAGCATGCTCCCCGTATTTTCAAAGCTTATTCGCAAGCCTGTCGTGCAAACACCCCGTTGTAGTGTTAAAAGACGTGAAATATGGAGAGATAAAGGCCATTTTAGAATATATGTATCGTGGCGAAGTAAATGTTGCTCAAGATCAACTAGCCGCGTTGCTCAAAATTGCCGAAGCGCTTAAAGTTAAGGGTTTAGTTGAAGAAAGTCGAGGAACTGATCATCCCGCTTTACATCCAAGAGATGATGAACCGATGCCTCAACATTCACCCCTCAACATTACGACTTCTACGCCCAGCATTCAACCTTCCCATGGCAGTAACAGCAATAGCTCACCTCCACACTCAACCAGCGGTATGTCTTACAATAAAAACCCATACAATATGTATGGGAAATCCCCTAACGTCGAAAGAAATTCTCGAATGAATTTGCCCATGTGGGCAGTGCCGGGTTTACCAATGCCTCATCACCCATCGCCCGTGCCTCCTCAAAACCACCCGCATCCCGCAGCAACAGCTGCAGCAGCTATGCTTAGCAGTTGTTACGAAGCAGCTAATTCTGATTTATCGCCATTGAAAAGGAAAAAACTTTCTAGTTTATTGATGAATAGAGATACTCCAATTCTTAGGACGGTTCTTGGTCAAGGTCAAGCCGATTCCTCGCAACCTGTCAGTTTAGTTTGCCACACTGACAATAACGAAAATATACATTCTAATTCAGTTGATCATGATAAGGTACCACTTTTACAGCAAGCTTAACACGTTTCTAACGTATATGTTTTCAGCATATGAAAAACGAACCGTTGGAGGATGCGCAATCCCCCTATACGGATCTTACGATTATGGAGGATGAAGAAAAGTCAAAACTAGCAATTCCCTCCTCTTCTCCTCAATCGTACCCAAGTGATATGCGAAGCGTGGCGTCTAGTATAGCGACGTACGTTCCGTCCCAAAAACCAGAATGGAAGCGTTACAAGCAGTACACTCGAAACGATATTATGTCTGCGATCGACGCAGTGCGTAACGGAATGAGTGCCTTGCAAGCGGCTCGAAAATACGGAGTACCATCGCGCACACTCTACGACAAAGTGAAAAAGCTCGGTATAACCACGAGTCGCCCATTTAAACGAGGTTCCAACGGCAGTAACGCGTGCTTCCCGTATGGTTTAAGCGGCACAAGTTCCCCGTACGGCGGTCATTTATCCGAAAGCGACGATCCAGGTTTGAACAACCATTCCGCTCTGTTGGAAGCTAGCAATTTTTTACAACACGCGTTGGACGGTAGAGGAAGCGACGAAAGAGAAGCGCTAGCGGCCATGGCCGCAGCGGCAGTCGCGCACGCCGCCGTAACTGGTCACTCTACCAGCCCACCTAACCAAGGCATTCCGCGAAGTCCCAGCCCCTCTTGTATGATGAAATATATGCACCACAACAGTATGACCCCATCGCCTGCTCCGGGCAGTGAACACCACCATAGTGAAACAAATGGCAGTTCTGAACGAGAAAGAGACGACGACGAAGATCAGGTCGAAGATTTATCGGTCGGCAGAAAGCAAGAGTCGAGAGTTATAATGCCCCCTATGAATCAAGTGTCTACGATTATGAAGAAAGAGGAAATGTTAAAAGATGTATTAAGGGAAGAAACCCGGCGAGAGGTAAGTGTAGAAGAGGCCGAATAGCCTTAACTAAAACTGCCAATATAGTTTTAAACCAGTGTTAAGTTTCTTCATATATATTTTATGTATTTGCCGGATTTCTGACTTGAGTTCAGTGCAATATGTATTGTCTGTGGTTACTCCACCCGTACTCACTTAGATTAGTGTAGAATAGATGTCTCAGAGTGCCTGTTTGTTTTACATAAGCACAGGGACCAGCTCACGTTTGCTACAAGTTCCTCGCAACGGAATGTAACTCATAAGACTGATAGGTTTACGTTTCACTATGTAATGAGACTGATTTATGTTGCGGAGCAAGCGTAGGTCTAGGTGTTGCATACATTAACCGGTGTTTGTTGATCTTTAAATAATCTTTAAAGAAAGATGTAAATAGTTCTTGTTATTTTTGCTGGGGGGCATTAAGCCTGCTTTCTAGAGGTGCTGATTCTTAAACATAACATGTACTTTTTAAAACACAGATCTAAATTAAATATAGGTCACCATTTTATCACCAAAAATCTATTTAGTTTATGTCTGTGAGATGTTTCGCTAAAGCAATTAAAGTGCAAATGTTGTGGTCTACTGAAAATACAACGGGAAAATGAAGATAAACTAGGTATATCTATCACTGCCATCCAGTTCAGTGCAATAGTTAGCCTCGTTCATCTTATTCCATGGTGCAAATTCGTTTCGTTAACTTGGTAGATCATATTCAATATGAATACGTTGTAAATAGTTTCTGCTGCTGGTAAAGGACCATCATATATTTTAATTGAAACCAGCCCTCGTTAATAATTTTGTTTTAATTTCAAATTGTGATTATCTCTTGTTTAACAGATTCTTTTAGTTGGTTTGGGGTTATCTAGAAATGTGTATCTCATTCAGATAGGTTTGTATAGTATGTAGGTTAGCAGTTTAGGTGCGAAGGTAAAGGCAACATTTTGCATAATATAGTATTGTTAATACATTTTAAATTATATACTGATAGAGTATTTGAAGAGTCTTGTGTTGCACCTTTTGCAACATTTTATTAGCACATTAAAGGTATGTTTGACAGTGGTAGTTGCACGATGCCATAGATCGGTCTGATGACCTATTCATTTCGTTCCATAGCTGTGATTTTCTAGACTGATACACCTAAATACTTACAGATTTTTCACATATCCATGTATAACATAATGAATAGACTGACAGGGGTCTAGTCACTGTACACATAAACTGTTCATGACAGCTTATAATATTAAAAAAAGTAAGTGCAATGCCTATTGTACATCACCTACGTTCATATTATTAATTATACATTGGAAGACTGATAATTATATTGTTTATTGTTAAGTTTGTTGATTCTACTAAATAGACAGGCGATACCTTGGTGGACCAATTTTACCAGAAAGTTTTTAATGCATCAAAATTTCACATGATGTGCCTTTTTGAATAATAAATCAAACAAAATTACATTCCATTAGTAGTATCTTTTTTGAAAGAAGACAAAAGCGCTATTGCCACAGTCGTTTGTTTTAGATATCACGTTTGCTCACTGTGTTCACCAAATTACTTTCAAATGTTAGATGTTTGTTAGTTCGCTGTATAAAGAATAGAGACATATGCCAGAGGATTGGTTCGTTTAATTCGTATAACCAAAGTTGTGTCACTATTTACGTTTTTATTCTCGCAATATTTTTTTAATTCGCTATAGATAATTTATAAAGCCATTTTTATTTAAGACTGATTATAATTTGTTATCCAAAGTATTTAAGGCCATATTTTAAGATTTATATTATTGTACTTGGTATCACATCCTACTATAAACAGATCTCTTACATTAACTTACAGAAGCCACTTGCTTTACTTAACTACCTCAAATATACAATTTATTTACATTTGTAGTGTACATAACAGATTTTTATATATACTAAAAGTTTTATAACGTAAATTGTGTGAAACCTGCACTATTAGGCGTGCTACGTTTCATGCAGTTTTTATTTTCATACATAAATTCAGCTGTTGAAATATTTCTTTCTATAGCTATAAAATATTCTTTTATGTAATGTTAGTAATAATGATGATAGTTGTATATCGCACTGCACGTATGTATTGCATTATTAAATAAATATTAAATATATATTATACATTGTGTATTCTGCGTTTTGTATACATCTACCATTGTGTAAATCCCTTATTTACGCCATGACCACCTTTATACATGCGTGGGAGGCCGCCATCGGTAACGAGCACGAGGCCTTAGTCACCTACTACCTTTGTTTAAATATAATGAATAAACGATGCTACTAGGATTGGAACCATAAGACTTTTAAATTTCTCAAGACCTTTTAGCAGTTGAAATTGCAAGGCATCAAACTCTTTCTACGTATTGGTTGGCTTCGATGTCGTTATCTATAAGGTTTTGTCAATTCCTTTTCAAATGACGCCTTAAACCCACTTTGAAAAAGCTTCAATTTCAAACACATTAGAAACATGCAAGTATCTAAATACTTAAATCATCCCGGCTATGAAGAATTGGAATTTTTGCACTAGTAGCGTTCAGCTTTAGGGCAGTAGGTATGTAAATCCAGTAAGTCAAACAGTGTACTTAACACAAACGTTAAGATTCTACCCAATACCTTCTTTTAAAAAAATAACAAACAGGATTTCCAGTGCACTCAAAAGGGCTGTTCTAGCTTTAGGCTTGAGAAGATCTTTTAAGAGCTTTGGACTTGTAAGTCTTACTATTGCAGATTCGGTAAATTTGAGCTTATCACAAAATCACAAATAATTTTGAAAAAAATTGCTGACGTTATGACCACTTTTTTACCCACTGGAAGAGCTTAGCACAACTCTTTGTATTCCTAAACTCTTTCCTCTGTGTCTTAAACTTCCTAACTTAAACATGCATATCTACTGCGAATACAGACAGCACTATCTTTAATGGTAATGATACGTAATAATCTTTATTCTTTAAATTGATAATGACGCTTACAACGGGCGGTCATAAATGAGTTGCTGTCGAGGAGCCTTTGGAAGTTCAAGTGAAGTATGATTTCCCATGTAAACAAAAATTCCAAAGGTGACTCGACAGCAACTCGTGAAATATAACAGTTTCTACTCTCTGTACAACCGTTGAGTGAAGAGATCCTTCACTCAACGGTACAACTGTAGACAGAAGAAAACTTCAAATTATTCAAATCTCACATCACGGATCCGAGGTAAGTACTGACCTAACAAGCTAGAAAATATTAAGAAAGTTTTACTCTGTGAAGCAAAAGCAAACTTCTTTTGAAATTACAATTTGATTCAGTTTTAGGTATCCGTATAACCCATCTGGTTGAATATGAGCCAATGTTGATAAATAGTGTACTTTTATAATCTTGTAAAGAAGGCACAACATAGTTACCTATAGGTATTGACATGTCCAAAATCAGTAGGTACTGATTTCAATGAACATTTTAAAAATTCCCCGTACGTTATGGTTTTGTCCGTCCGTCCGCCTATCCGCCTAACTCGAGAACGAAGAGAGCCAGTGATCTCAAACCTTCGCCAATCGATGTCTACGATTTCAAGGATCAGTGTTATTGAATATGAGCCGGATTAAAAGTTGTGTTTCCGAATGTGAACTCAGTGACAAAAAATGATTCTTTGTGTTTCATAATTTTCTCCTACTACCAATACTACTGTATTGGGTTTTTACTTAGCACGAAGAAATTGCAGGTATAAAACTACGTTCATGCAATGAGGAAGAAGGAGAATACGCATTTTGATGTCAGTCCAAGTGGTCATTTGAGTATTAAAGGACCTTAAATTAACAATGCTATGATAGAATGGAGCGCACCTGCAAGGCCCAAGCGACAAACATTTCAAAATATAAATTGCGTTAAACGGATTTTACACACTGCGTAGTCTATATTGAGCAAACTTGTAAGTAGCTAACTAAAGACGCCAGTCGGCAGTCGAGAAACTGAAAAAGCCTTTTATTATTACGTAGTTGTAAGCGTTTTATGTAAAGTGTACTTACTTCTTTGTCCCTATGCTTGTCAGGAAATACTAATCCGAGTTGGGCCAAAATTGGTAACATCCAGGAATAAGTCTTTAGGTAATGATCGTAAGAAAGATCGATTATAGTTAGACTTTCAGCTAAGCTTTGTCTTTTATTCAGTCTTACTGTACGGTTTTTGGTATCGTCTTCTATATTTGGTAGGTAGATAAATTTAGTCTTGGGATCAGAATTGACTAGTTACAAAATTGTAATGGGGATGATGTTTCTGTTTTGCGCTTACTTTGTAAAGCCTTTGAATGCTCTGGAAAACATCATAATAAGAGTTTATAGAATGTCTGCCTTTGAGAGCTTTTAGTGCTTTTCTCCAGGAACCTTTTACACGTATAGAAATAAAGAACCTATAAGATTATGAAAATAGCCCAAAAAGTATTAGAAAGGGCAAGGTTGAATTCGTAAATTCGAGAATCTGTGGTAACAAATTAATGTGCGAAGAAGACCAAACATAAATACTTTTTCAAAAAACATCTTTATAAAATTTGGTCCGTCCGCCGAGGACACGATAAGTGTGAAACAGAGAAAGGTTTTTTAATTTTGCTTTCGGCAATCGATACTTTAGATCGGCTGTTTGGATAATTTCGCAGATGAACTAAATACCTAGTAGGATTGACCAAACAATCAGTACTCATGCTAGAAAAACGTCGAAACTCATTTATTATAGGTGACAGACTATGTTTTTTGTTACGGGAGGATATCAAAATAGTATTTCTGTAGAAATATGATTGAGAATACGAGTATGTACAGTTGAATTCACGAAAAACGAGTTCTTAATTCTCTATCACATGTCAACACATGAGCGAGAAAAAGATGGTAACAATGTGGGATAGTTGGAAATTGAGTCACCTTTCGTGAATTCAACTGTACAAATGAATTATCGTCCGAAATTTCAAAATAGGGTAGCTCATTTAACGTTTATTTACTCTACTTACATTTAATAATTCGTGGAAATTGTTGGTGCATTTGTTAAGAATTAAAGAAATGCTGTTGGAAACGGCCTTTTCATGTTTGCATTAAGTTAGTACCTACTTAAGGCTGGACAGTACAGCTGTTCCGTTACCTGAAAACGCTTGATTTCGTTCCACGATATCTGAATTCTGAGTGAAGATGAAGAAGGGGTCGAATATTCCTGTGAAAGATGAATGCTTTAGCTAGACAATAACGCCGGGCTTTACTAAAATGTTTTAAAATAATTTTTTTTAAGGGTAATGTCGAGGGCTGTAAGGGTGCCATATCTTGGAAAAGAAAAAAGGAAATAAATTTGCCTAGATATTAAGGTTACGAACTCAGCTCAATTTTGGAAATTGTTCCAACTTCATTTATAGATAGGTAAGTTATCTTGTAAAAACAACATAAAAGTTTTCCTCAAAAGCGCGAAAAGATAGCTTCCGCCGCACCGCTTGGTTTATACAGATAGAAAATGTACATAATAATTTATAATTGGACTGAGTTTATGTTTCTACCATCGAATACAAATTAATATTATAAATAACCAAATTTACATACCCCGTTCTGTGTGGACTGTCCAGCCTTAACTATTTTTTTCCGGGAAAGAGTTAAATGTTTTGTTGGATAGGTTTGACCCAATGAAGTTTGACCTTAGTTAGATCGACGGAGTTTGAAGGAGTAGTTTCGAGAGGAATTTTGAATATGTTTAGAAATAACCTGTTAATTATCGTGATAAATCATTTGCTACCTTCCAAGTGTTATATTATATTGTAAATGAGAAGAAAAAGATTTTAGGGTTTCATAATGTAGGACCCCGCATCTGGAAACAAGAATCACTTTTCACCAGTGTCCAACAACACACAGCGTCTACAATGTATAAGTATTTCAAGTTTCATAATAAAAAAAAATAAGTTGTTTTAGTGGGATGCCCTGTATATATATTTTGACAAAAAATGAAATTCTACATTTTGTAATAAGTACATAGTTACTCAAAATTAATAGAGTAGATAATATGGCGGAATTGGATGATTCACGAACTTGACCGAGATATTTATGAGTTACACCAACCCTTTGGTCGAAATCGGTTCATACCTAATTACGAAAGTTGAGTGTTTCTTGGAAGTGATAGTACAAACCTACAAATATGCCTACTGGTACCATTACAATAGGTATAGATAGATAGAAATCTATCTAAAACGTAAGACTCGAAAGTGTACAAGGAAGGGTCTATTGGGGATACCGCTTTAGGTTTCCCGTAACTAAACCTTGAATTAGGTTTAGGCAATAGGTATACCAACAGCAAAATTTTACAGATTTTAAGGACTTTGTAGTTGTAAATCCAAGAGTGAATTGAGGACTCTCTATGTACATGATCATTAGGTTTAATACATGATAAGTACCTTTGTAGCATTGCCAAACCTACTGATTAAAAGTTAGGTACCACCTAGGTGTTACCCTATGCCACAGAAGATAATCTGTGCGTCTAATCTAAGTAGAGTAATTAAAAAGTACTTACCTTTAATACTTGTGGAATCATAACGCCACTACATACAATATCACAACACTACACCTTTGTACAGTATTGTCCGTATCGTCCCGTATATTCCGCTGATAACGGATGACCCTGGCAAGCCCAAAACGGGTCTACTTATTCTCATTTGTGTTACGAATGGTACGTGAGTAAGCCTCTTTCATCTTGAAATATTTCACACTTAAAATATTTGAGAGAAGACTAATATACTAATAGAATTTTGTACATATCCTACCACCCGGACATTAGTAAGGGACGTGTTGCATGGGGGTTAACAATGGCCCTCTACTTTTTTGACGGATACACGTTTTGAAGCACCAGGAATCCAAATCCAACAAAATCTCGATGTTGTCGGTCTGTCGATCTGTTTGTTGGTCCGTCTGTACTCTCATTTCCGGATAAACGACTGAATCGATTGGAACCAAATTTGGTACACATTTTTAGACATAAAAGGGCAGAATCTGGAATATGCAGGTGTGTGGGTGGTACCTGTGCGATAAAATGCGTACAAGATATTCAAAGGTACAAGTAATAGAGTCAATGTTTTGATTCAAAGGAAAAAAAGAATTAATCAGTTTCACAGGCATTGAGCCTTTATGTCACCCATCTCAACTCGTCGGACTCGTTACGGTCTCTACAGGATCTAGCAGATGTACGTACAGTCCATATATGTTATATAGAGTGCGGCGTTACATTGTCTCCGATAATTTAAAGCGCTTCGTTATCATTAGTTTTTGATACCAACATTTATCAAATTTTGTTATTTTATTTATTATTTCAAACGCATTCTTCCTCAATATGAGACTATTGTCGTCCTCTATCAATATAGGGACTCTAGATCTGGATGCTGTGAATGTCTCTTCGTTTTGGTACCACTCTGAATGTCACCCTTAACGTCATGCATTCCTGGTTCCCCCTCGATACCCCCGAAACGTTTTTGCGCGATTTTTAATATCTTCTTTAGTTTGGAAAATATGGCCGACTGCAAGTTTTAAAATTGACACCCCGTATATTGACTGTATGATCCTGGTCTAAAGGAGGCATCAAAGGAGCATACAGGGTGCGCTCAGATCTTGTTAGAGAGTAATCTTGAGAACAGGAAAATCTCTACAGTAACAGAGATAGCTAGGCGGCATTTAAATCCTTAAGGACGAAAAAATTTAGTGCTTGTTGGAGCTTGTAGTGCATTCAAAACCTCAGCCAACAAGTGGCCGAAAGAAGAATTCTCTCTGTACAGTTTTATAATGGAAATTAGAAACGTGGCAACAGCGCTTGAAACATGGCGGCGTGGTAAAATCATCCGATTGCCTAATCGTCTCTGATTGGTTGATAGGAATGTGGTGATTTCTGAAGAAAGCGTAAAGCCTCTATTATTTAAAAAAAAGGGTAATTTGAATCCTCTGCAAAAAAATGGGGGACTTCAAAAGCAACCCTCAGTTCATTCCTGACGACGACTTTAATATTAACGAATTAACTGGAATTGACGGTAAGTCGTAGAGCCAGAATGTTTATGTTTTGATTGTGAAATTTTCAGATTTACTTTCAAATTGCGAAAGTGAGTTATTAAAGAATACATTATTCGAAGACAATGCCTTTTTGGAGCCTTTGCGTATGGACGACTTGGACATTTTGGGTTTGAATAACGGCTTGTTTGAATCTGGCCTACCGTTAACCTCCACTAACGAACAACCGCTTTACGCAGCTGCGACACCCCAACCAAGTACGTCACTTCCAGACCAATTTCTAAGTAGCAGAGTTTTACAAAATAAACCTCCGCAAGTATCACAAGCTGCACAAGTGAAATCGGAAATTAAATCTGAGCCTCTCGTGAGTTTTCCCGTACATCGCCAGTTACCAAATGCAGCTAAAGTTATAATATCGTCACCCAACCGTAACACAAACCAGCCGATTGTGTATTCCAACATTCAACCTTTACAAGCAAATCAACGTGTAGTCCTACAACAATCTGGCATTGCCGTACCTGCACTTAACAAAACCCTTCAAAAAGGCCAACCCGTTTTAATACAGAGCGTCGACAAAATGCCACAACTCCTGCTGCAGACCAAACTTGAGCCCCAACTACCCAAACACACAGTCATGTACACTACAGCACCGTTAACCTGCGCTACGACCACAAGTGTACCGACGCAGGCATCTCTGCACACTTTGGTCAGTTCGGCCGGTCAGATCGTGGCTACTGGTATTCCCTTAGTTTTGGATACCGATAAGAAAGTCGCGATCAACCGTATTTCCCCGCAACAGGGTAGTAAGGAGCCGAAAGTGAAGGAGGTTAAGAGAAGCGCGCACAATGCGATAGAGAGGAAGTATCGCACCAGTATTAACGATAAAATCGTGGAGCTGAAGAATATGATAGTAGGAATTGATGCAAAGGTAAGTCAAATGTACAGGGTGTTCATTTTTACACAGAATAATGTACAGTAAGTATACAGTTAACAAGAGCCTTTTGTCCCGGGATTGTATGGGTCAGTCACAAAGACATACATATTTTGAAAGCAAATTGTTCTACAATAGAATCTGTTTTACAATTAATAAGAGTTACATAGAAGAGAACTATACAGAGTGAGTCTCCAACTTGAAATAAATTTGGTAAATCAAAAAAGGTTTTTTTTCCAGACAGTGGACATGTTTATTAGTGTTTTAAATTGCTCTCTGATTGAATGTAATAAAATTTTATACAGGGTGTCCCACATTTGAGATATGACTTCTTCGATTTTTTTAAACTAATTTTATGGCTACCAATTCTTAAAGAAAAATTTACACCATGCCAAATGTCAAATTTTTATGTGGGTACGCGCATGCGTAATATGAGTTTTTTGACATATACCAACTTCTGTTAAAATTTCTGAATCAGTGTTCCACAAATCAGAAATTTAGGCCTGCACATGTGCATTGTGCAATCCATTATTTTGTCATATACGTTAAATTTTCTTTTATAAGAAGCTCCTCTTGTTAAAATTTGAGTTTGTATAACAGTTACAATTTAAATTAAATCTGTTTTTCATTTTTATTGATTTTTATTTTTAGTAACACTTAAAATATCAAAAAAATTAAAGGCGAGAAATGTTTTTTTTGATTCGGAAGTGTGTCTCAAAAATTCAAAAATGTGCTAAGAAGACCAAAATGACAAATAATTACATACTTATTTACTGCTACTATTTAATAATATTTAGAAAAAAAATTAATTTTAAATAAGGGTTCCAATTGAAATCTGTTTTTAGGGGAATTTCTTTTAAAAAATGTGTGATGGTTTTGTTTGCCCGTCTGCTATTGAATATGAGCCGGATTAAAAGTACTGTTTTCCGAATGTGAGTTGAGGGTAACAAATTCCCAAATTTTTGAAAACGGCAAAGCGACCGCCGGGTACACTTGACTATGAAGGCTAGAACCTGTGTTTAACGCCCCCCCACCCCTCTCTTATTGCGAAAAAAGTCAGGATTTGAGCACAGTTTTCTTAAAAGTATGTTTTTACATTTTTAGTTAAACAAATCCGCCATTCTGCGTAAAGCTATAGAGTACATACGATTTTTACAAAACTCCAATGCGAAATTGAAACAAGAAAATATGGCATTAAAAATGGCGGCTCACAAAAATACTTTGAAAGACTTACTAGTCACCGGTACCACCAACCTCTCCGATACATCAATGGGCGAGTACGACCCCGCCTACACTCCCCCACATTCGGATATCTCATCGTTCTCGCCTGAGCACTCTCTACCGTCCAGTCCAGAGTATCCGATGGAAATCAAAACGGACAGCGAAGACGAAACGAAAGGTATCACCAGGGGAATGCTGGATCATTCGAAGATGGCCTTGTGCATGTTTATGCTCGCTATAGTTTCGTTTAATCCATTCGGAGCGGCGTTCAATAAGTTCTCGGGCAAGGCGCAAGATTATTCTGGATTAAATCGCAATCTTCTAAGCGGTTCGTATACATCGATTCGCGCATGCGTCACTTAGATTCGATCAATTGTAGATGAAGAACCTTCTCCGTGGAGTATTGTCAATTCGACAATATTTTTGTGGACTATCAACATATTTATTTTATGTGTTTGCTTTGTTAAGATGTTAATGTATGGAGATCCGATAATTCCAAGCAAGTCTAAGGAATCTCAGACATTTTGGTGTCATAGGAAGCAAGCTGATTTTTATTTATCCAAGGTAAGTGTAGTTTTTGCTTAGCAATAAAATGTGTTCAGAATTCCCAACTTCAAAGTTGAATAGGTTTTTAAAAGTACAGTTCCCTTATTCTAAAATGATAATAACATAGACACCCTTCTCCATAAAAGTCATAATTTTAGGGTGATAGAGTTGGTGCCAATCAGGAATTGCGAAAGTGTTTACAAACGTTTGGCCTCTCTCTACCAACAAGCAGATTTGAAATCTTTACCGCATTCTTTTGGCAAGTTTGCCGACAATTTTTACACCGGTTATGGATTGGTAAATGGCTGTCGAGACATGCTGGCGGTTTTTTCGTGGATGGGTAAGTGATTAAAATTGTCATTGACATCTGCTGCAGTTTGTTCTTTAGGGTCACAAGATACGAAGCTCTAGTCTCCTGTCGCGATTTGGCCTTGGTTTATCATAGCCTCAATCAATTGCACTTGGTGAATGGACCTGGGGACAGTGGCCACATCGCGGGGATTGTGTTGTCATTTACGGCAGTTAATTTAGCAGAGGCTGCTGAATCGAAAGTGTCTCCACCAATTCTGGCTGACATCTACGTCAGCGCGGCACTAAGAATAAAAGCCAGCTGTCCGCCTTTTATTCACGGAGTTCACAGGTACTATCTGGGATTGGCAAAGTTAGCTTCGACAAACTCTTGCGATCCAATGCCTCAAAGACTACAATGGCTGTTCACTCCATATGGGTACCGCTTCTTCATTTCACAAAAATTCTCCTATGACTCTGAATTGATTGATCTACCATTTAGCAATTTGGGAAACAGAGCCGATCCTATGGCATATGTTATGAAGGTACTTTTCGAAAATAACATCGCATTCATTATAATAATTTACGTTTTAGGTGTACAGAGAGCAGTTAATCGAGAAAGGCTTACAAACTTTAGTTGCACCGGGATGTCGAAATGAAGGCAGTGACCGTAAAACCCAAACATCGGATGTGCTTAATTACGTTTCTATGCTATTGGAAAGCGTCACTGCGGATATTCCAGCTGTTTTTAATTCTACAACCTTGCACAGTAAGTTTAGATTCTTTGTTTTGGATATACAGGGTCACTATTAAAAATGGAACCAAAGCTCTTCTGCACAAACTTTACCATTTGAAATTACTTCACATAATATTTTGAGGTTAGAACATTTTTTTTGTGAAATACGGTCCGCTTGACATAGTTTTTTCTCCATCTTTTTCTAATTTAATACCGTACATGTTTAAGGTAGTAAGAAAGAGAAAAAATAAGCTTTCTAATGACATATCACATGATCTATCCCCTATGTTGCTATTAAAAAAAAATTCAAGATGGCGGATCAACTAAAAAAACAAGTAACATTTTTGACCGCCATCTTGAATTTCTTTTCTTGAAATTTGTTAGTAATTACAAATGGAAACGTTCTAATTTTGATTCCATCTGTAATAGCGATACCCTGTATATCATGTGCAACGTTTAGAAGCATTTCCGAGTACGCCATTTTGTTCCACTCGGATCATGTAATAAGCAGTAGAAAATAATTTTTTTTAAAACTTAAATCAAATATTTATTTCAGAGTATGAAGATGAAGTGGGTCATTGGTGGACGAGCATCCTGGCAGTCGCCTGCTATTGGCTACTCGGCGAGGAAAACAACTCGGAACGTCTCCATCAACAAATTGAAAATCTTCCCAAAGTATTATACGACCTGAGCGATCCACTCCCGAAGGCGGTTCTAGCCGCGTACATAGCGCGAAGCACTTACTTGAAAGGTGGAAACACCATCCCTAAAAAGGTTATGCTGCGCCGGTGCGAGGTTGCGAGTCAACTTCTCGAAGACAGCATAAATTACAGCAGCTGCAAACAGCAGAGCAATCTGGGTTTGGTAAGTGAAATTTAATTTCTTATAGCAGCGTCTGAGTAATGGTTAACTGGGCTGCATTGTAGTTGCATTGCATGTCAATTAATAGTGCAGTGTTCCTCCAGTGCAACCTAGTTTTCATAAATCGTCATCGTTTCTGCGACCGGTGTTATCTCGTTAACGAGCTTGGTTGCAGATGGCGCAACTGCTAGTGTGTGATTGGTTGCTTGAAACTCGTACTTGCATATGGGAAAATAATTTGGAGAACGATACCAACACCTCCCCTGTTCCCAATTCTATTCTATCTGCGTTCCAAAAGGATTTATCATCGTTGCGCAATTTAACACAACAAGTCCCTGTAAGACTACTGCCCTTCCTAAGCATACATTAACATCATAACATTCCAGAGTGCTTTGCCTAGAGTATTTTTGTACGAAGCTACTGTACGCATGATGGCAGGTGCGGCTCCAGGAAGAACCCAGAAGTTGCTAGACCGTAGTTTAAGGCAGCGATATTCCAAATCGTCCATTATGATATGTGCTAAAGGTGACTTTTATTTATTATTTCCAATCATTGCATAACTTTTCATTTTACTGTAGATAAAAATCACCAAGAAGATGGTGGGGAGAGACAACATGCGACTGCATTGTACATGGCATGTCGTCATCTTCCAGGTCAACTACTGTCATCTCCAGGTGAACGTGCTGGCATGTTGGCAGAAGCTGCCAAAACCTTGGAGAAAATTGGTGATAAAAAGAGGCTGCACGATTGTTATAAACTTATGAAGACAATAGGACCAAATTCTGTAACCAATTAATGTTTCATTCACTTGCACTTAGTTTTTTTTATGTGATAATTTGAAAGGAAAGTTATCTTCTTTTTTTAATAAGATATTGTAGCATAAGATATATATTATTTATTATTTTTATATTTACTGTATAGGTCTGTGAATATTTGTTAATTATATATACTAATTATAGTCAGCATGTGGTTTGTTTAAAGTATTTTACAGATATACAAGAACGCTCTGGGTCCGTTATGTAACTATCAGTCTAGCTAAAATTGCCGGGCAATCATGAAGGGAGTAGCAGTCAATATGTAAAATTTATGTACAAAAAAACAATTTCAAAATGCTTGAATATGTCGAACTTGTATAGGTGGGACAGGAGCTAAATTTCAAATATATTTTTTTATTTCATCCCCCTTTAAAGCATTACAATGGCACATGAAGAAATGCGATGCACTCTATAATACATCATTTGAAAGTGTAGAGGTACGATGGAATACTTCACAAAAGCAATAAGTAAACGATTTTATATTTAACGACTGATACAAAAATACAGCACTCTAGAAAGCATCTTTTAGAACTATCAACTACTTAACTTTACACACTGTTGCCACATTTAGCAGAAAGTTTATTTCTTAACTTTTAGGTTTCATATCCACCACTTTGATAAAAAATGGGGTAAATCAGGTTGGTAACTTAAAGGTTTTTCTTGTTGTTTTAGATGGTTTCCAAATATACTTGGGAATTTTTATTTTTTCAGTAATATTTAAACTTATTTACTTTGCTGATATGTAAGTGTATAATTTGCTAATTATGGGCACCGTTTAAGAGTACGCTATTTTTGTATATGTTGGCATAGGGCGAAGGAAATTATTTACAAGTAGTACATAGGTATAGGTATACGTAGATGCATGGTACCTACCTAGAAGAATGATAGAAGAAGTGATATCAACCTATAGGTATACGTATTACCAAAGAGTATACAACGAACTTTGGTATTACATTTTTAACTTACTAACAACTTTTACAAACAATTGTAGGCATATATTCATTGATTCTTAGCAAACAGTCATAGTGTTTCTTGACACTTTTGGCACATAATCCCGTATTTTTTTTGCAATCAAATGTAAGATTCCTTTATTTTTAATAAACCCTTTTTGGAATTGGTTGTCTGGAGATCTAAAACAAAATTAAACATTTACTCTTAAGTAGGTGCAATAGAAGAGTTATTTTTTATGTACCTACCTATATTTATTATTTATTCAGAAATATTGGTTTACCCATTAGCTTTTGAAAAATCATTTACAATATGGCTGGTATACTTGCCAGGTTGTTAATATATCTTTCTTTCACTGGTTCTGGAAATCTATTGGCTGATGTTTGGGGAAAGGGGTATTAAGTCCAATTTTGTGTAAAATGGGATATGTGTGTATCATACAGGGCGGATGCAAGGGGGTTCCGGGGGTCTTTCCCCTAAAAATTTTCAAAAATGCAACCACTAAAAACCCTATTATTTACAAAATGCAATTGCCTGTAAATTGAGCACACTTACATAATATACCTATACCAAGTGTTGATATTAGGTCTTAGATGTCTTTTAACACTTTGTCATTGACACTTTCTCCATGACCTGACAACACGGTGGTGTCAAACCAGTGACTCTTTTAAGTGGATGTTTTCCATTCCTTCACAAACATCTCTTATCTGTTGTTATTTCGTTTTGGTGCAGAAACCTCCATTTAAAACGCCTATAACGTATAGCATCATTAGTAGTATGTTATAGCCGTTTCTAAATATGACCTTGAGATTACTAAAAGGGCATTGCCTTCGTTTCGGGTCGGTAAACTTGTGCTTCGTGTCGTGTCGTTTAAACTCGTGCTGCTTAAAGTGTATTAACCTCAATATGGCATTGACCTTTATTGTGGTTTAAATTGTCCGTGAGAATGACCTTTTCTATTTAAAGGTCGTTCACCTTAAAGGCACTGACCTTTTGATAAAAGGTTATTGACCTCGTTGTCTGTTCTTAAACCCTTTAGCTTAATGGTTTTGATCTCCGCTAATTGCGCATAGTGGGGCGCAGTAATTATATAGCCCACTCGTCGTGTAGATCAAATAATCATGGCATGGCTAGCGTATGCTGAGCAATCGTGGATCAAGGCGATAGATTTTGTAACAGCGGTAGAACGCCTTAAGCAAAAGTTTTCGGCGTTAGTATTTGACGCCGAACATGAAGCAATATATGGCAATGGTGAATATAGTGAGGAGGAGTGTCTGGCCATCGCTAAAAAATACGAGTTGGGCGAAGAAATATGTGAGAGTTATTTAAACAGTAAAATATGTGAAAAATGTGTAGTACGCAGATTGATAAAGGCCAATTTAGAACAGTTTATTAGTGAGTTAAGTGATTGGACTGAAAATGAAGAAGAGAGTTACAATTGACGAAACACGGAATCAAGTGTACATAATGGTAGCGTGGTCGTTTGCTTACGGTAAAGCACGAAGAGGTTCGTGGGAAACAGTCGCGCTCGATAGATTTCGTTTCCGAAATAAAATCGAACAACTTAGTAGAGTTTTGTCTTCGGTATTAGAGAAAAGTCATCGGGACAAAGTCTATCGTGAACGACTCGCCTCCCCTCCACAACGTTAGCAATATAAGTGTAACTGCAGTAGTGCTTAAAATCATTCCGACAGCGTGTACGCGAACTGGTTAAAATGGATCTTGATACACTCAACAATACCACTTTCTGCAAGCCGTTCAAAAATGTAAAAGACCTGGAGGTGGGGGAGAAATATCGAATCGTCGGCATCGACACAATCAACACAAAATATGGTGACCGGGTAGTCGTGGAGACTGGAAACTTTAAATCTATGCTTCCCTTACGTTTCTACAACTACTTTAAGGAGGATAATCGTTTACAAACATTCCAAGCCTCCTTAGCCAATAAAGAGGTATACATAACAAGTGCCGGATCTGCAGGGCAAACGACTAACTTAAAGTTTATGTAAATAAAATATTTGTGTATTAGAAATGTAAATAAACATGGTATATATAAAAAGGAACGGATTCGTTTTATTTCTTTCTAGAAGGCTTCAGTAGATATTTCCGTTTCCTGTTTCAAGGTCCGAGCACACAAGGTAAACGGTTAGAGAATGGCCTATTCTGGACCACTCTTATTGATTTTTTATCGATTTTTGAAGCGCTATCCTGATTTATTGATTGATTATCGATTTCGGAGGCAACATGCAAACTCACTGTCCTTGTGTTATTGGTGATTGTCAATTTTGGGGGCATAGATATGTGTCTGTTGTGTGTTATTGATTTTAGGGCGTGTGTATAGCGGAATGGTATGTTTCCTCCTCGTGTTAATGGGAACTGAACTCGGGACATTCGCGCCATTTTAGTGGGAGTGTGTCATTGACCACTTTGACTGCAATTGTTGGAGAAGCAGGACTTCTGGAGCTAAAGTTTGATGTCTTCAAAATACGGTAGTGTAATTGACTACAATTGTGAGTTAATAGCCTGGAAAGCTAACCTTGAGCTCTCACGATGCTTACCGAATGCCTTCGGAACTTTTTGTGTTAGAGGGGCCATAGCGAATAGCTAGGGCTCTCTTGTATACCTACAGGATTTTGTTACTGTGGAAGTTCGTCGGTGTTGCAATCGGAGCTCTACGTCGCAATCTTTTAATCTGTATGAATAAGGCTGTCAACTCAGATTGGCCGCTAGTGTTGTGGGTATTGATCTAAGAGGGAAGCGACCTCTGAAATTAAAAGGTTGTTGGTCTCAAAGTATGAGACAATAGTGTTAAGTGTCATTGATCTCTATTCTGAGTCAATAGCCTCGAAAACTAAATGTCGTTATCCTCAAGTTGGATAGCATTGGCCTCTAATGGAAGTCAGTGTTCTCTAGCGCTGCAGGTGGTTAACCTTGATCGGTAGCCGTAATATGTTGGACGTCATTGAACTCTAGGTGTGAGCCACTGCCGCTAAATGTCGTTAACGTCAAAGGATCGACAGCTCAATACTATGCGGTCGATTGCAAATGTGCTAGTGGTGGGGACTGTATGTGTTAAGAATAATATTAAGAAACCGTTTGTGGATAGTATATTTCAAACAATCGCGGAGACATCAGACAAGAATCGTGCGCCGCAATCTATCGCTGCAAATATTCGAACTCTCGCAGTAGAGTTTCAAACGTAGTTACTTTAGGATCAGTCCTGACAGAGTTTCAAACCTAGTTACCTTTCTGGTGACTTTTTGATTTAGAATCGATCCTATATAACGAGAGATGGAGGACTCTCAGACTTTGCAATCGATACAAAGCTCAATTACAACACACATAAACAGTTTTCCCCAAGCATTCGATCTCCTTAAAATGAAATTAGTTGACGCTAGTTTAAGTAAACTGCGAATACTAGAACATATTATAATCCAACACGACAAATTTGTGAGGAATGCTAGAGTTATATTAATTTAGCTAGTGACGTACATCCAAACTTTCCAAAAATATGATAGTGAAATCGCACTAATATAAAATCCCTAGAAAAGTTACTGGAGGACCGACTCTAAATCACACTTAACTAACGCCCTTAGAACAAAAAAGTACTAGAATTGAATGTCAAATGCCAAATGGGAGGCTAAAAAGTCATTGACAAGAACCCCAGCCTGCAATCGAAATCAAACTGGTACTTTCGAAAAATACGTTAGTGATGATTAATTTCGGACCTAGCGCAATGCATTTTCAGGTGGTCTAGAATAGAACTCACTAGTTTGATCATCATTGCAGCAGTCAGTTGGAGGGTTATAAAAACACACAAAAATGTTGTTTATTTTCAAACAAATATCCACACAAAATTTTGGAATGCTCTACCTCGTAAAGGAAATTTTCGACACACGATCCACAAGTGCCGCTTCGCAATAGTTCTGGTTCTGCAAAAACTGCTATTAGAATAAACTTTTAAAAAAATTTTCAGTCACCTTTTTATAATTATACCCAAACGTTTGCCCAAACGCGTCGGTTGCAAAAATGTTTCATTGACCGGACATACGAGGTTGAAATTTAATCCCTTATTCACCAAAAGGAGTCCGCAAT